AATTTGTGCTCGTCGCTCTCCTGGATAGCATGATGCCCGATATCGACCATCTGATGGGTTTCCCGCTCACTTTTTCAATTAATTCTTCTTTAGTTGTCAGAAATGAAGTCGTCTGTCACATGTCCCTTCTATCGCGCCTGCTTTTATGCCACGCGTCATACCTGTCAGTCGCTTTAATTATTCCACCCCCTCGCATAACATGCCCACTTTGAACTCCGTGTGAATTAATACTCTCCACCGTACGATCTAGCTTTAATCCAACGACTCTTATCTTTCAACTCTTCGAATCATCTGGGTATAAATTCAACACTTAGCGAATTGTTTGAGTTTTTTCCACCTTTGCAATTTTCGAACTCTCTGTACTCTGAGCTTTTCCTGCAACCATTGCTTTCTTTCTCGGCTATTTCTCTTCCGGCCTCCTCGATTTCTTCATCTGCGACTATGAGTAAGTTGTTCCTCACTTGAATTTACATTTCCTGTGTTTCAAATTTGCCTGCTCTTCGAATTTTTGTTCGTGTTGGGTATCCTGGATTTACTTATTGAATTTTCTGGATTTGCGCATTTTATCCTGAATTTGTGCTCTGAATATTGCAATTTGTTTGTTGATCGTTGTGAATTTTGCTTTTCCTCTGCAATTTTTTGAACTTCCTGCTTTTTCCCCTTCAATTTTTTGAAACCGCTTCCTCCCAGAAACCCTTGCTTTGAAAACCTTCTCCTCTCCCCTCTTTTCTTTTCGTCGAAATTCCCCTTTTTGATATTGTTCTTTTTTGATTTTTTTCAGATTCAGCTACTTCGACCACCTCCTCTGACTCGGTTCAAACACTGCCCTCCGCCCTCAAAGTTGTTCCTCGCTATCCTTTGCCCCGGCGATACTGTTCCCACCATTATTTTCACAGCCCGCGTTTCTTCTCCTAATTACGTGGATACCATGGATAACGTTCCCCTCCGCCATTGTCGACCTGCCTTTGGCTCGTTGGATGAGCCAGAGGAGGACGAGGTCATCTCTTCTCAACCTACATTCCCTACGCCCTCGACCGTTCCTCCTTCTTCTTCTCAGCTTAACACCTCCACTTCTCCACCCAAGAAATCCTCGACCAAAGCCTCCAAATCTGCCTCCTCTGCCTCTCATTCAATCAACTGGCTGGAGGGCGACAAAGTTTCTCTTCCTTCCGGCTGAGGCTTCTATCGTCCTTCTCTCTCTGATACATATGACCATTCTCCTTCCAACTGTTACACTTTCTTCAAAATCCAGATCGACCTCGGCATCCGCTTTCCTCTCAGCCCTGACCTACTCCACATCTGCAAGTGGTTCGGGCTTCCCCTAAACCAACTTCCTCCTAATGCCATTCGCTTTATGACCACCTTCATAATTTTATCTCGCATCCGGTTAGGTCAATTTGACCTAGCCTTCTTCCATTACTGCTACTCCCCTTCAAAACAGGCCCGTGGCCTTTACTTAAAAAGCCATAATAACGCCCACTTTATCTCAGACATCCCTTCCAACATCCCCAAATGGGCTGATACCATTGCCTATATCGAGCCTGATGCTACTTTTGCTTGGGCCCCTTCTCCTTGGCTCAAGGAACTTCCCAAAGAGAGTGCAGACATGACGAACCCTACTCCTAACCCCCTTTTCGACCAACGGATTCATGTTTGGAACTCCAAACCCATTGCGTTAATTCCTCTACTAAAAAACGACAACCTTCTCCACTACTGTGGTTTGCTCACCCACAAGACTTTCTCTCCTCCCACCGATGAAATTCTTAATCTGATTAGGATTGAGAATGATCCAGGTAATTTTCGACCAGTTTTCTCGAGTATTTATGTACTTTCTTGTTTCCTGTTCGAGTGTGTTTTGTTGATGTTGATTTTCTGCAGAGGTGCCCAGCTTTAACATTCCTCTGAGGAAGACTCCTCTGAAGAAGAAGTTTGGCCCCGGGTCCACCTCTGGATCGACCGGCGATCAGGCCCATCAGGTCGAGGGTTCGACTACTACTCCCCCTCACCCAGAACTGCAGCAACAACAACATTTTCAAAAACAGCAGCAGCAGCAACAACCGTCCCATTCTCAACAGCAACAACAAAAACAACAACAATCCAAACAACACCAACAACAACAGCAACAGAAAAAACACCAAGAACAACAACAACAGAAACAACCGTCCCATTCCCAACAGTAGCAACAACAACGACGACCTCCAACCCCTCCTCCCGAGAAAACTCCGCAACATAAATCTACCTACACTTTGACCACAAAATCCCCAACCACCTCCAAAACTGGTGACCGCCAACAGAAGACCAATGACCCCCAACAAAAAACCGATGACCGCCTACAAAAAACCAATCCTCGAGCCACTGATCCCCAAAGCACCAATCCACCTAAGACCAACATTCCTGACCAAAATCCTCCCTCCAACGAGCTTTCTCTGAAAGGGCCACTCGTCGACTCGACAAATACCATGGTCGAGTCTAGGCATGAAGTGGCTCAGGGGAAACGATCGTTATCGGAGTAGTCCGAGGCGATCACTAAGCGCCCCCGTCTGAGCCATACCACCGACACCTTGTGTTGGGTTCTGTTAGGAACGTCAAACAACATGCACAGTATTGAACTTATCAAAATAAATCCTAACGCAGCGGAATCTATAGTTAGGATATGGACGTTTACCTTTTCTAATTTTTGCCGACTCTGAGACGATGTAGAGTACCATTGATGAAGTTCGTCTGAA